TTGTATTAGCGCGATAAAGCTTAAAGAGATGTGTGAGCTTCACACTCTAGTACTAATTGGACTGATATCACAAGCTTTTATTGATACATGACAGAATTATTTTGATCTCCTTTTACATTTCTTCAATTTTGACTTAATTATTATTGATATAAATAATACTAGACGAATCAAACAATCATTGAAATATTTTTTTATATTTTATAAACTTCTTGTTTATTATTTTTGTGCAATAACTTTATGCTATTGTGTCTGACTGGATATTTCTTTTTCATTGCTTAGTTCCATAAAATACGAAATAAACTTTATAAATAACTAATAATTGTATGATATAATTAAGTAACTATTAGGTTTTCTTCTTACTATTGCTTCTATAGTGAAAAAGTATATAAGAAAAAAACTACCCTCAGAATTAGGCATCATCGCGTTACGTTGATAAATGTAACTTTTCATTCAAATAAACTATTTATTTCGGAGTTTTCTTTTCTCCATTTGGTGACTGGGAGAGTGACCTCTCGATTGACTATAGAACGATTTCCTTGTTCGTGCATAGATTTGCAGAAAAATGAAGTGCAATCATAACACCCTCAATTCTTTGTCCTTTTTTTGTCATCGCGTTTGACCTTCAAATTTATTTTATAACTTTTAGATAACCTAAGCCAAAAAGGCTGGTATTTTAAAAAATGTTGAGGGTTAAAGAGATGTATCTTTTGATGAAAGAATAAACTTCTAAAAATACAGCATCGGTAAGAAATAGCGACAAGAGTATGGACAAAACATTATCGCGTTAGGCTTGTGAGAGCCGATATATATATGTATGGGATACCTTCGGCTATTGCCCTACCAGTCCAGCTTGGTTCGCCTATGGTACCTAAGGCAAATCCGACACAAGGATCTCTTCCTTGTCGCGCGGGTAAGCCGAAAAGGAAAAGTTTGAGTAGAAATTTAAGTTTTTATTAAGTAAAATAAGAAAAAAAATTACATTTTCTTTTGAATTTGTTCAAATGTTTCTTTATATTCAACGAGATGAGGATGAGTTGAAGGTAATTTTTCTTGTGCAATTTTTATCGCTTGTTGAACATATTCGATTGCCATACTATATTGTCGAGTAGATAAATATAATTTTGATAAATTGTGATATGCAACAGCTATGTCAGGATGATTTTTTGGTGATTTCTTCTCACGTATTTCTAATCCTTTTTGATAATATGTTAATGCTGTTGGATAATCTTTCATTTCACGATAAGTTTCACCTAAATTTATATATGTGAATACACATTCCAAAGGATTACATTGGACATTTTCTTGGATATTTAAAGCTTTTCGATGAAATAAAAGTGCCTTTTCATAATCACCCATTAATCGATGAACATCACCAATATCACTATATGTTAGAGCTAGATGAGGATGATTTTCAGGCAGCGCCTTGTCACGTATTGAGAGACATTTTTCGAAACTTTCAAGTGCTTTTGGATAATCTTTCGTACTGCGATAAATCCTTCCGAACCAGTTATATGGAAAAGCCAAATCAGGATGATTTGGAGGCAGAACTTGCTTTGTAATGTCAAAGTCCTTTTTAGAATATTCAAGTGCTTTCGAGTAATCACCCATGTGATAATACACTTGACCGATGTTATTGTAGGAAGTAGCCAATGCGGGATGATTCGGAGGTAGAGCTTTTTCTTTTATTTTATGTGCATTTTCGTAAAATTCAAGTGCTTTCGAGTAGTCACCCATGCCGTTATATACTGAGCCGATGCTGTTGTAGGAAGTAGCCAATAAGCGATGATTCGGAGGCAGAGCTTTTTCTCTAATTTGAAGTGCTTTTTCGTAAAATTCAAGTGCTTTCAAGTAGTCACCCATGTTTTTATACACTTGGCCGATGTTGTTGTACGAAATAGCCAATTCGGGATGATTCGGAGGCAGAACTTTTTCGTCGATATTAAGTGCTTTTTCGTAAAATTCAAGTGCTTTCGAATAGTCACCCATGTTTTTATACACTTCACCGATGTTGTTGTACGAACCAGCAAATGCGGGATGATTCGGAGGTAGAGCTTTTTCTTTTATTTTATGTGCTTTTTCGTAAAATACAAGTGCTTTCAAGTAGTCACCCATGTTGTTATATACTTGACCGATGTTGTTGTACGAAATAGCCAAATCTGGATGATTCGGAAGCAGAGCTTTTTCGTCGATAATAAGTGCTTCGTCGTAAAATTCAAGTGCTTTCGAGTAGTCACCCATGTTGTTATATGCAAGAGCGATATTGTTGTATAAAGAAGCCAATTCGAGATGATTCAGAGGCAGAGCTTTTTTCGTGATTTCGAGATCTTTTTCGTAAAATTCCAGTGCTTTCGAGTAGTCACCCATGTTATTATATGCAAGAGCGATGTTGTTGTAGGTAATACCCAGTGAGGGATGATCTTCCGGAAGAGTTTTTCGCTTGATTTCGAGGGACTTTTCGTAAAACTTTATCTCTTCTTCATATTGACCCTGTTGCGATTTTACTATTCCTAGCTGGAGATAGATAGATGCTTTATCACTTTCGTTAAGTGTCTGTTCTAGTAGTGTGTTATACAATTCTTCAGCCTTATTGAATTGACTAATTTTGAGCAGCAATTGACCCAATCGATTCCATCCAGTGCCACTGACCTCTTTTCGTATACCATCGGTCAATCGACGAAGTTGTTGGTCATCATCAGACGTAAGTTTAAGGTCCGCTTCATAAAGTGGACTTTTTTTGTGAAGTTGTCGAATTTCACCAATTCGAAAAACTGCGTGCATGGAGAAAAGAATTTCCTCTTCGTCCTTAAAATTGCTCACCTCCTGGATGAAGGCGAACGGAGTCGATGAGACAGTAGGATCTATCGTCATTTGAAAAAGAATACCAACCATATCCGTTCCTTCTGAGCTGCTTTCAGCGAAAGCGAAGGAGACATCACGATCTGTACTGGTAGATAAAAAATTATTAAATGATATGAGACCACCTTTGTTTTTTACAAGTTTTTCGAAGTCACTTGTCGATAATCCTTGACCCCTATAAACTGAAAAGGACTTCCCATGATACTGACTGGCCTTTTTGCTGTGTAAATCTTCAATCTGTCGATGAACATCACAGAGGAAAAATCCCATTTGGATGATAATGTCACCGTCGAGTGTTCGTAATGCACGATTGAGCATGTTGAAGATAAAACATTGGCGTGTATACCACCATAGTGCCAATGTTGGATGATAAGTATGTTGAAATTCATTGATTAACTCGAGTTGTTTGGTATTGTCTTTGTATTGTTCTTGGCAATAAGTGACCAAGTCTTGAATGGCTTTTTGACCATGTTCCATGTCAAGGAGAATTTCCTTGAATATTTGAGTATACATGAAGGAAGGTTCTAGCTGATTGAGATCTCCGCTAGAACCTCCTTCACTAGCACTAATAATACTAACAGTTACCTGGTTTTGATCATATTGTTTTATAGCCATTGCCAGTTTTTCAGAGATGTGCTTGATTGACGTATGCACCCCTTTGATTTTGGGCCAATTTTTAGACCATTCTTGGTGACGTTGTTTGTTGTCACAAAAGATATATATGGCATTTAATTTTGGCATGCCATGAATTTCGGGTACAATAGCTTGACCAAGTGAATCTGAGGAGATGACAAATGATGACTCTTTGCTGTTTTCTTGAAGCTTATCAATACATTCTTCAGTCGTGGTACATACGTTCACTGCATTTACAACACTGCGCAATTGTCTCAGTGTGTTCTGGCAATCTTCGTTTTTCATATTGATATTCGCATCGACCCACACCACCAAATAATCTTCGACCATACGTCGTTGCCGTTGTCGACTCATTTTGAAGCAAAATTAGGCTGTTGAATTAGTAACTAAATATGATGAATAATGGATTGTAAGTTGGATAGAGATCAGCTTTTATTTTTATATGTTCGATATCAATGTTGCTTTTTCAATACTTTTTTACAGCTTAAAATGTGAATTCTTTTTTGGTGACACTCTAAGACAAACTCTTACTATAGTCCATTTCAGAAAAAAGTGGCCGTGGGCATTTTTTGAATAACTCCATAAGGACAAAAAATAAAGAGCTGATATTTTTACACTATATAGAGTCAAGGTTGCTCTAACGTTTCATATGGTTGATGAAAAATTTCATTCATTATTCCTCTAGCATACATAATGAGTTTTTAAGTTGAGCATAATCGGTCGTAAAAATTAAATGGTTTCCCAACTCCAAGATAATGAGCAGATAGCTCAACTTCGTCGCTATCGATCCACGCAAGGCCGAGGTCGATAGCCGTTTGCGTTTCAAAAATACAAAGGTTTTACTGAAGGCTAGTGATCAGGTTTTTTCCAAAATTTAAGGGCGAGGGGGAGGGGTAGCCCCCTAAACATGCTCTAAAATTTCGTCAGTTTGTAGGCCTTTCCACAAAGGGTCTAGAGTTAAAATATTTCGCGGGTTGGATGCTTTTTCGCTGAGCTATACAATTTTCAAAAATTGAAAAACTCGCATTTTCCAACTATTTTGATGTTAGCGAAAACAGTAGTTCTTACCGAGTCCTCTACTCTTATAAAGCGTTAAAAAAAATTCGTTCGTAAAAACTTATTCTCTGAACTCGCCTCTATGAGATGACATATTTTTCTTTTAGAAAAAA